ACATGCATCCCCCTCCCCTTTAGATTGAAGAAATGCAATATTTCTCTGTCTCATTCTTTAGGGGTATTTTCACTTTATCACCCTATTGTTTGGGAGGGGGTGATATTAAGTCCTTTAGTGCCCCTCTCCCCTGAAAAAAGGCCTATCACATTTAGTTGCTCAGGTTTGGGGTGAACTCTTCTCCGTTTGCCATCAAAGCTTCCATCCCATAAACAGAGGGACCACCAAAACCTCTGAGCCAACTCGATTTTTATGAGCTTTTGAGCCAGACCTTTATTACTCAGGCAATAAAAAGCATTTAAACACAATCCCTTTAAAACCTCCACCACTGCTTTTAAACAAATCCTTTCTTTCTTTTTTTCTTTCTTTTTCTTTCTTTCTTTCTTTTTTCTTTCTCTTTCTTTTTCTTTCTTTCTCTTTTTTTCTCTTTCTTTCTTTCTCTTTTTCTCTCTTCCTTCCTTCCTCTGGAAATCGAGACATTTGCAAGGAAAGCTTTCCTTTTACACGTGCAGAAATAACAGCCGGCCAGGTTAAATCATGTAAGTTTTACAGCCCTGTTTTCATGGCATTAAGCGGCAGCCAGCGACAGAGATGATAGTTAGCTGGGAAGGGAGGTGTTTTCTTCAAAGTGAAGCTGCCCATACAAACCCAACTACCCCCCTCCCCCCCCAAAAAAAACCCCTTAGATCCGATTCTTCAGAAGTTGCTACAACTTCTAGCCTCCAGAAGTTGACACCAACTTGTAATTTTGAAAGGATCTAGATCTAGAATAAATTGTGTCATCTGCTGGAGGTTATCAGATGTTGAGTAATGCCATGTCATTTTAATCCTAATTAAGTGTAATTAAAAGGAGATGTTGGGCTTGGAGAGGACGCTTCTGCTGGCATATCGTTTCAAAATCAAATGTAGTTCTCCATCTTCAATTAAAAAAAAAACTACTGAATGTATCAAGAGGGCGGATGTCAACTCCCAGAATTCCCCAGCCAGCCACGCTTCACCAAATTTATCTCCTATGCTGTCTTGGGAACTGTGGGAGTTGAAGTCCACACATCTGCAAAGTTGACAAGGTTCACCAGAAGGTTCCAAAAATTGTGTTCCAGAATCTTCAGAACGTTGCAAAGTCCATCATTTCTGATCAGGAGGTTTGGCAACCTCTAACAATGAAATGAGGATGGATCTAAAAAGGAACTTCTGCTTCTTGGAAACAAAGGTGGGGTGGATGATGAGGATTGAGGAGGAGGAGGAGGAGGATGGCAGCTAGTGTGGCAGAGCAGATCAAGGAGATCCAGATGGAGGCTCAAGGAATGGTAGGGACCAGATTCTTAGCCCAAAACCTCCCACACCTAGGGATAACCCTGGCCACATTCTGGAAGAAAAACATAAATCAGTAAACACCCCTAAAGACGGGCTGTAAGCTCTTCCTCCTCTTTTCCTCCTTCCTTACAAACAACGCTTTTTTCCCCTGCTTGCAATATCTGGAGAGAAAGTTGAGAAAGACTTAAAGAGGGCGGAAGAAGGGGAGGAAGAAACGAGGGAAGCTTTGGGAACGCGCGCCGATCAAGGGCTTCTCTCTCTTTTTTGTTCTCTCTCTTCAACCCCACCCCACCCCCGCTCCCGTACCCCCAACCCCGGCTTCCTTTCTTCAGCTCCAAGGCGCCCCGTAGGTGCCGGCGCAAAAGGGACAGCCGGCTTCGCCTCTTTTCTCATGCAAAACGAGAGAGGCGCGCAAAGGAGGCGGAGGGGAGCCCAGGGGAAGGAGGGGGGAAATAGGAGGGGGACTATGGCCGGAGCTGTGCGCGTGCGCGGGGTCCGCATCACGGTCTCTTGCTGCTGCTCCCGCCTCCTAACCCCCCCCTTCCCCCCTCCTCTCTCGACTTCAGCAGCTGCAAAGCCCTGGACTTACTTTTTTTGGCGAGCGAGCGCTCTGGAGAAAGCGAGCGGTTTTGGAGAGGGCGTTGCGCTTTTACGCGCGCCTTGGCCACCCAGCGTTCCATCGCGATCCGGACGCAGGTGGCGGCCCCGGCTCTCCCTTCCCTCCGGCTGGCCGCTTTCTCTTGCCCTCCCCTCTCTCTTTCCCCACCCAGCCCGGCCGAGCCCTCCTTCTCCAACCGAGGGGGCGGAGACGCAAAGTCAAACGGAGCGCCCGATTTCTCGGGGCAGAAAGCTCAGCAGCAGCAGCCGGAGAGAGCGCCCGCAGCCGGCTCGGGAAAGCAAGGAGCTGGCCAGCACGGGGGAGCAGCAGCGGATTCCCCCTCCAGCGACCTCCCCGGGGGGGATCTGCAGAGAGAAGGAGCCGGGCAAATTTTGCATCCAGCTTCCCCGGCTGCGGGCGAGCGAGAGCGGCGTGGAAGGGTTTGGAAACGGTTCCCCGGCATGCCGAGCCGCTATAAGTCACCCCGCGCATGGAGCGCCGCGGGAGGCGCGCGTCCTCTTCCTCTTCCTCTGGCCGACCGAGCTTGAGACCCCAACCCGGGCTGCGGACCCAGACAAGCGTGGGAATTTCAGGCTTTGGGTGGAAGTGAACGAAGCTTTGGGTTTCGCAGCGATTGCCATGAAGCCAGACTGGATGCGGCTTGAGTCCTTTCGCCAGAGGGCTTCGGGAGAGAACCGGCTGGCCGGAGTGCCCTTGATCTGACCCCCCCTTCTCCCTGTTGGCCACTTCTCCGTCCTTCCCTCCCTTCCTTGCCCCGCCATCAGAACTTGGGGGCTCCGCGGAGCGGCGGGGCAGCTTCCGAGTTGGCCAACATGAGCTGCGGGCGACGGCGGCGGAGCTCCAGACCGACGCTGGGCGTGGTGTTGCATCTGGTGTGCTCCTGTTTCGGCATCAGCTCCATCGACACCGACCGGCCCGGCGACGGTCGGTGCCAACCCATCGAGATCCCCATGTGCAAAGACATCGGCTACAACATGACCCGCATGCCCAACTTGATGGGCCACGAGGACCAGCAGGACGCGGCCATCCAACTCCACGAGTTCGCCCCGCTGGTGGAGTACGGCTGCCACGGCCACCTCAAATTCTTCCTCTGCTCCCTCTATGCCCCCATGTGCACCGAGCAGGTGTCCACGCCCATCCCAGCCTGCCGGGTGATGTGCGAGCAGGCGCGGCTCAAGTGTTCGCCCATCATGGAGCAGTTCAACTTCAGGTGGCCGGACTCCCTGGACTGCAGCAAACTGCCCAACAAGAATGACCCCAACTACTTGTGCATGGAAGCCCCCAGCAACGGCTCCGAGGAACCTCCCCGGGGGTCCAGCATGCTCCCTCCCATGCTGTGGCCCCAGAGGCCCCACAGCGCTGCTCACGACCTGACCCAGCAGAAGGACGGGCTGGGCCGGCTCTCCTGCGAGAACCCCGGGAAGTTCCACCACGTGGAGAAGAGCGGATCTTGTGCTCCTCTTTGCACCACCGGGGTGGACGTTTACTGGAGCTGGGAGGACAAGCGGTTTGCGGTCATCTGGATGGCGGTGTGGTCCATCCTCTGCTTCTTCTCCAGCGCCTTCACCGTCCTGACCTTCCTGGTCAACCCCCAGCGCTTCAAGTACCCCGAGAGGCCCATCATCTTCTTGTCCATGTGCTACTGCGTCTACTCCGTGGGCTACATTGCCCGCCTCTTCTCCGGCGCGGAGAACATCGCCTGCAACCCGGACAGCGGCCAACTCTACGTCATTCAAGAAGGCTTGGAGAGCACCGGCTGCACCTTGGTCTTCCTCATCCTCTACTACTTTGGCATGGCCAGCTCCTTGTGGTGGGTGGTCCTGACTTTGACGTGGTTCCTGGCCGCGGGGAAGAAGTGGGGCCACGAGGCCATTGAAGCCAACAGCAGCTACTTTCACTTGGCAGCTTGGGCCATCCCTGCGGTGAAGACTATTATGATCTTAGTCATGCGCCGGGTGGCCGGAGATGAGTTGACGGGCTTGTGCTACGTTGGCAGCATGGACGTCAATGCGCTGACTGGCTTCGTGCTCGTCCCTCTGGCTTGCTATCTCATTGTGGGGACGTCCTTCATCCTTTCGGGCTTCGTGGCTCTCTTCCACATCAGGAGGGTGATGAAAACTGGCGGGGAGAACACCGACAAGCTGGAGAAGCTCATGGTGAGGATCGGGGTCTTCTCCGTCTTGTATACCGTGCCAGCTACGTGCGTCATCGCGTGTTACTTTTACGAAAGGCTGAACATGGGTTACTGGAGGGTTTTGGCCACCCAGCAAAAATGCAAGGTCAACAACCACACCAAGCACCCGGACTGCACCATGAGCGACTCCATTCCGGCCGTGGAGATCTTTATGGTCAAGATCTTCATGCTGCTGGTGGTGGGCATTACCAGCGGGGTTTGGATTTGGACCTCCAAAACTCTGCAGTCCTGGCAAGGGGTTTGCAGCCGGAGGATCAAGAACAGGACTCGGAGAAAATCCACCAGCATGGTGGCAGGTGGGAGTCTTTACAAAAAGACGAGCCAGCTGCCTCTGCCCAAAGTTCGCCACGCAAAGTATGAGCCGGCTTTGCAACCCCCGACTTGCTTGTGACCCCACTGGACCACCAGACCATAATAATATTACAAGTCAGCATACTTGGAAAGCAACTGAAAGAGATGCTCCAAGTAGTCAGCAGTCAGGACTAAAGATTTTTATTTTTTAAAAATGCTTTTAGAATTTCTGTTGTCTTACCAAACAGCAAATTAAGAAAAAGAGTTGAAATATTAAAATTAAAAGTCAGGTGACAGGGGAAAAAAATTAGTGCCTCGAATGTTAAACAAACATAAGCACACTCTTCCTTCCTTCCTTCCTTCCTTCCTTTTCTTTCTTTTTTTTTCTTTCCTCCTTTCCTTTCTCTCTTCTTACCTTTTTCTCTTCCTTCCCTCTCCTCTTAGTTTGCTAGTTTTTACATGCTTTGAAAAACTTTACTAAAACTTACTTCCGTTCCTCCTTCCTTTTTTCTTTCTTTCCTTCCTTCCTTGCTTTCCCCCTTCCTTCCTTCCTAGCTTTCCCCTTTCCTTCCTTACTTCCTTCCTCCCTTTCCACCCTTTCTCCTTCCTCCCCTCCTTCCTTCTTCCTTCCCCTTCCCCCCTTTCTCCTTCTTCCCCTCCTTCCTTCCTTCCTTCCTCCCTCCCTCCCTCCC